TTAGGAGTATAAAAGTAACAAAAATAAAAGAGCAGGTGGTCCTGTGGTCAGCGTTCTTGCCTTCCATACGGAAGACTCGAGTTCAATTCTAGGATGGGTAAAATGAACTTATTTTCTTTTTTTTTTTTTTTTTTCGTTTATTTTATTTTGACAATTAGTTATTTTGTCTAAATAACCTAAAATATATTTTTTTTATTTGTAAATTTTCGTTAGTTGGTCGTATAAAAAATATACTGTACAACTCGAGTGGATTGTCCACATCGCACTCAGGCGACTGAGCACTTGTCTATGGTGTCGTGCTCAAATTTCGTCTTCGTGCGATATAGCCATCATATCCACTCTTGTTACACAAACTTCTAATTTCTTAAACAATTTTTTCTGAAAAAATAAAATTAAAAAAGTAGAGATAAAATTACCCAATCCAGCCTCTTAAACTAACCCTCTAAAAATTATGTTTTCTTCTGTTATACCATTATATCAAATAACATAAAACTTTTAAGTTCTCCAAGAAATTTGAAGTTGATTGTTTGCTTAGGATAGAAGTTATCTCCCTTATTTCAAAGTTTCGGACATTAGCTTGTATAGCAAACTGATCTTAATTTTTGTTCTTTTTTGACTCACATAGTATTTAAAGCTATACTTTCTTATTTTTTATGTCTTTCAAATAGTCTACTATATCAGAGACAACAGAGACGTGTAACTTAATAGGAAAAAGTGTTCGGTGGTCCATTTAAATTACATATATGACTTTCTTTCTCTTTTACATTGATCTTTACATATATTTATCTCCTTCCAATAAAACTAAGACCAATCTAAGAGGTTGCTGATGTTGCTGGTTTTTTGGCGTCGACGTATCGAATAAAACTGACAACTGACAATGTTATGAATGTTGTTATGAACGTGTGCATTTTATTAAAATGAATTTAATTTGGGCCCCGTTTATTTCTTTGAGTCTGATTTTGTTGTTTAATTTTCTTTGGGGGGGATTGTTTATTTTTGCATATTATTTTTTACATGAAGCAATTTCTGGAACCAAACTCGCGTCTTTGTACACATTTCTTTCTAGAGGTAAGTAATTTCCAAATTATTAAGAAAATCACTGTATAATATGTGTGTTTAATAATATATTAGAAAATGGCTATAATTATTTTAGGTGAATTGGAACAGAAATCCATTGTTACAGCTACTTTTGTACATTAAGTAGGTAGATGAATGTCTGGACAGCTTTAATGATAGCACAAAGTTCCTACCTACTAGAAAAATAAAATGTATGCCGAGTAAAAAATCTGCACATGTAGTATTGGCAGAGGACTTTTGAAATGATTAGAGATTGGCTATTTCTTACATACACCTACCTCTAATAGCCACTCTAAAGGAAGAAAAAAAAAATTGAATCACAGAAGGGCAGAATTTTAAATCAGGATGCATTGGAAAATAAATTTGGGGACATCAGGTCGGTTTTGGATTTTAGAGAGAGATCAATCTCAAGAAAAGTTTAATTTATCCTGCAGAACAACCAGTAGTTTAAGTAGGATTTACTATAACTTTGTTAGAAGATTTCCTTGATAATAAATTGTAATATACCAATTGTTTCAAATGAAAATTGAAAAAGAATTAAATACGAAATTGGATTTTTCATGGGTAAAATGTTATATTCATTCAAACATTGTAAGGTAATCTGTAATTAAGGGAATGTGGAAAATAGGTATACCCTGGTGGTGTAAGAGACAAAAATGTATTCATCTTTAAATAGTGTTAATTATTATTTGCTATGTTTGAAAAGTACCTCCTGCTGCCGAACAGATCGAATAGATTAGACTACTAGTTGGAGGAGGTCCACCTAGTAACCAAATTAGGAGACTAGAAAAACTTTTACATGAGTGGGGACACAACAGGAATGCACACGCACAAGATACACAAACAAAATAACAGGGGTAAAGGTGCGATTTCGGTGGTGCTGCTCGAGCTGCGCGACTATAGACGCTGGCCGCGGCAGCTGTAGCCGCGATGAAAAGATGTTTTCGGTGACGCAGTTCTAGGCAGCCGTTAACTGCGGACTGTAGCATTTTTGTCATTTTAAATTTTTGCGGGGTTTATTAAAAAATATGGATTACGACGATTTGATAACATTAATTTTATTAGAAGAGGAGGAAGATAAAGAAGAATTTTACCAAATGTTATCTAGAAAAAGATGTAAAGTAAACGAAATGTTTAAAAGGCGACGCGAGGAAGGGTAATTTCATTTATTAATAAATAATCATCTAAAAGAAGATGAACAAAAGTTCAGGCAATTTTTCCGATTGAATCCTGATCAATTCCAGTTGAGTTTATATGAGAGAAAGGGTAGTTATTCCGGTAGGTATGTGGTAGAAAAATTAGCTAACAACTATAACTACGCTATTAAAATTTAGTCATTTTGCAGATTTTGATTTAACCATTAAAATAGCATAAATTTGTTTACAATATGATACTAACCTTCTTTTTTTAATTCTTTAGCGACCTTTTTCCAACAATTTACTTTAATAACAAAAGCTTTGTAATTTTTGTCTTCATAATCATAAATTACAAGATATTTTTGTATTTCGTTGATTAAAATTTCATCGTCATTTGACGTAAATGCCATTTTTTGCCCTAGTCACTACGATTTCACCCGCTCGACTGCTTCGCGAGCTGTCGAACAGCAGCCGCTGCAGCACGGGCTGCCGCCACTTTAGTCGCGCTGCGCAAGCTAAATTGGTTCCATTTGAAACTGTACAAACCAGTGGAGCGGCTGGAGACGCAGCTGCTAGCCGCCGCAGCCAGCCGCTTAACCGAAATCGCACCTTAAGCCTTCAGCAACATTTGTGTTGAGTGTATGTGTGTGTTTGTTTCGTTTCCATGGTTTCTATTAAAATAAACAGTCATAACACATGGATACCTTTTTGCCAGACTAATGTAAGCGACATTTGTTCAAATGGCACTTATGATAGTCTGGCAAAAAGGTATCGATATACTCTATACTTTATAAAATATTTGTTACATTAGTTTTTAAATATATTATGAATATATAACAACTGTTACTGTCTTTGTAATTTGTCACAAAATGATACGAGGTACTTTCTAAACGAAGCAATTGTAGTTTGTTTTTCTGTACCTTACAAAAATATAATTTATAAAAAAAGAGTTTGGTGTATTATTTTTCCAAGTTTAAATATTTAATAATCAATAGAATTTTCAAGTTTTTTTTAGCGAAATTTACAAGAGTAATAAAAACTATGTTCACTGCTTATATTAAACTGATTAAAACTTCCTTTATTAAAATTATTATTTATATGATAAAAAAATTGATGTTATTGGAAGCTTTAATATTTTTTAATATACAGCGAAACAATAGTTTTTGTTTCTCCTGTAAATTTGTATAGAAAAACTATTTATTTCTGAATCCATGTTTGAATTTCCCGCCCTAAAGCATTTTTAATTTTCCCGCTATTTACTAGTGGCGCCATCATAAACTGGTTGTGGTTACAATCGCCCAAATAACTTTTACCGAACAAAAAAAATACATTAAGTTACACGTCTCGCTGGATTGTCTCTGACTATATGTAGACTTGTTCGACATATGATTCTTGTTTTCTCCTACATCAATTTATTTGTTACAGCATATCTAATCGAAACGTATATGTCAAAGTCAATAATAATGTGTCAGTTACATTTGGTAGTGTAAAACTTTTCGAAAATTATATTTAAACAGGAAAGTACTGTCCTGAGCAAAGCCAAAGCATTAAGAAGAAGAAGAAGACTTAATAATCCCCGTTGTCCACTTCTCTGCTCTATCCTCTACCGGACACACTCAAATAATGACATTAAATAATATATTAAGATCTTACATATTTATTCATATTTATGATATGCAAATGGTGTAATAAATCAATAAGTACCCATTTTAAATAGCTTAATGTTAGTACCTATGTGTGCGCCCGGCTATCCTACCCGGCATTATATTTAAATTCATATGGAGATTCGAACAGTTCCACAAATTTATTACGACAGCATAAAGAATCTGCTTCTTTTATTGTTTATGTTTTGTAAATTTGTCGGACATGATAAATTCATTTGAATACCATATTAGGACTGAGCCGATGGATTTAATCTTAAACTGAAAAATGACCATCTGGGAATTGTGTGTTTACAGAGTGTTCGGGTCATAAGGAAACCATTGTTTGGTTGTACACAATTAATTCGTATGCCTACATTTCTATCTACAACTACAATGGATTGCTCGCCTATTATATAAGAAAGAATTATAAATTGTTATTTTGAGACTTTTAAAGTTACAGAAAAATTATTTGACTTGTTTAAAAAAAAGATTAGTTTAAAAAATCCTAAATTTAAATTTGATATATACCAAAATAATTAAAACTATGGAAAACATCTTTCACGAATTGTTTAGATTATAAAGTTTAAACATTTATAACAATTTTATATAAAAATATTGTTTGTATCATGTTTTCCAATTAAAATTTCATTATCAGGAACTGCATATGCAAAATAATATTTGAGTATGTTGTAAAAATGAGGAGTATAGTTTCAAAGTGTACAATCTCCATTTTTTATAAAAAATAAGATAGATGTCACATTACATAGAATTTGAAGTTCTGAATCGAAATAATTAATAATTTTTTTTCAAAACAGATAATCTCCAACGAATTTTGACGGCAGAAAATTCAAAACGTACAATGTCCGTTGACATTTAAGTTTCAAACCGTACAATCTCCAATCCGATTTTAAAAATCAAAGTGTACAATCTCCAATGGGCTTTTGTTGTCAGTTTTGAATTATTTCAAAGCGTGCAAACTCCTGTACAGATTTGTCAATAATATTTCACGCTAAAACCAGTCTGATTTAACGTTTCTAAGTTAGTTGCATGTGATTCGTGAAGAAGTAAAGTTTTTTCCAATTTTTCACGAGTTTTTTAAAGTAATAATGAAGGTGAACGTTACACGTTACTCCAGTAACCAGTAATGAAGCAAAGAAAAAGACAACGTATTACGACGACGTGGAAAAAGCAAAAAAAAATTAGGTAAGTTTGATAAAAGGTTTTTATATATCTTCCTGCAAAGATGGGTTTGTGTTAGATCTACCCCAAATTCGCTACCAATTTATCCGAAATGTGGACATAAAACTGGTGCTTTTCAATGTACTTTACTGACAAATCAATGGGAGAAATAGGACAGTTTTATTCAAAATTTTTTGAGATAAAGGAGAAAATATTTCAAGATGTTTTGCTTAAATATTGCAAAACATTTCCGATATACCGTAAACGCCCAAAAAATTCTAAGAAACAAAAAAATGTTGGCTATGTGCAAGAAAGCTTTCATGGATATTTTGTATATAACATGAAGACGAATTGATACAGTTACAAAGAACTTTGATCAAACTTCTCAACCTGCAAAGGAAAATCATGAAGGCGATAGAAAGCTGGAAAATTACAAGTCGAAGAAAAATGCTGTTATAGATTTTTTAAACAAATTTCATGTAATTGAATCTCATTATTGCAGAGGACAAAACCAATGACTAAACCGGGATTCTTCTTTAAATATAAAATCAATGTGGAGAATGTATGTGAAGGAAAATGAAAACGTTCCAGTAAAAGAAAGCTATTTCAGTAATATTTTATGTACAAAATACAACCTTGGTTTTGGTTTTCCTAGAACCGATGTTTGTACGACATGCTTACAGTTAACATAGAAAATAAAAGCTTGCTTTGATAAGGATGTCAAAGCCAACTTAATGATCCAGGAAAGGGTACATTCATTAAGATCTAAAGAATTTTTCACCTGTTGAGAGAACGGGATGAAGGAATCGAAATTTTTTCGTTTGACTGCCAGAAAAATCAAGTATTACCTAAGATTCCGAATCAACAGGCCTATTATTTAAGACAATTTTATATTTACAATTTCACCGTTGCAAAGGGTACTTCTAAAAGTAACTTAAATCCATTTACTGTCACTTCTTTCTGTTGGACCGAAAACGAGTACAAGAAGGGTTCGAACGAGATTGCCTCCTGCATTTATCACATTCTTCAGTCGACTGATTTTGGAGACGACATTCATACAATCCGGCATATGTGTGATGGATGCGGAGGCCAGAACAAAAATACCTCACTCTAATCTATGTGTTGTTACTGGTTTTCTAGACAAGTGGTATTCCCAGTTAGAGGACACTTCTTTATGCCCCCAGATCAGGTTTTTGGGCATCGTGAAAAGACTATTGAAAAAAAAAAGAAATAATTCCGGAACCGAATGAATATCTGGATATATTTTTAAAGTATGGTACTATTCTTAGGAGTGGAGAAGTAGTTGAAATATACGATTGGCGAAATGAAACTAGCAAGTACATTAAGCCTCCAGGACAATGGTATTTTGCTTTCTCAAAAATGATGAGAATAATTTTAACAAAAAGCTCTAAAGGCACAGTACTAATCCGCGGCGAATTAGTCTATAATTCGGATTCTGGTGTGGGAAAACCAGTAACAAAAAAGACTAAGAGTATTAAAAATATAAAACCTACACAAATTCTGAAACAAAATGTAGTCAACAACAACAAAAAGGTTGATGTTAATAATTTATTAGTGCATCATTTCGGAGATGAGTGGAAAAATGATACACGTCTAAGTTTCTACAAATTCGTCGTAGAAGAGGACACGGTTACAGAAAACGAAACAGTCGAGGATGAAACGACGTTGTGTGAGAATATCGAAGAGGAATTGGAACTTTCTATTTAATTAACAGCTTTTGATTTTTCATGAGCTCAACCCACTATTTATTTCGTCTTTTATTATTTTTTTTTTTTTTTGACTGAATTTAATGTTTTTTGTTTCATTTTTTATAATGAATAAAAATTTATAAATTAATGAAAAGTGATGTTGTTATTTTCAAAGTGGACAAACTCCATATTAGTTATTTTCAAAATGAACAAACTCCAATTGTTATTTATATAAGGTACAATCTCCAAATATTTTTTCAAAATAACTTTGATGTTTTTAAAAATTTTAAGAAAAAATTCATAAAATAAAATAACAAAGTACCTACCTTAATTGCTTGTATTTAAGAAATTATTAATGTCTACTGAGAATTTAGGAAACATGGCGATTGAACACTTTTAAACTATACCCCTCAACTATTTAAAAAAAAAACAACATTTTCTATCTTTTAAACACTAACATTTTATTAAAGCATATGGCTGTTAGAAATATGATTTTTTTTTTTACGTCTTGGTCACATTTGAGTATGAAAACTATTCCCTGGCATTTATTCCATCTAGTTTTTGAACTAAATACTACAAGCAAGCTTTGATTTAATTTTACTTACTAAATGTAGATGGAGTTACTTTATGACTTTTTATTCACACAAGTAAACACGCATCTAAAGGTTTCATTAGAGATTGTAATTGAGAAGGTCTATTGCTTGCTGATGAGTCCCAACAAAATCATCACTCATATAAGAATGCCAAATCAGAGTTGTAGTGTTGAAAATAGTTTTTCCAAACCCACATGTATATTGGCTTATCTACGCACAGGCTACAAAACGAAAAAGTATGTTATTGCATTCAACTGAACGAATATATTTCATATCCATTCTAGGTAGTGAGAACACTGCAAAAATATGAAATCCACTAATGGCAGTACATATTTTGGACACCTAACTACTATTATTTTTTAAATTTTAAATAAGTGACAATCCTGTCAAACTAATTGTCAGTATATTTTTTAGTTACTGCAATTAAATATACATTAAAATGAGTTATTTTTGTATGGAATCGATAAATAATAGCATTTTTGTTTTTATTTAATCCACATTTTGACAAAAATCTTAAATTTGAATCAATCTATATGAAACTAATTTATTTACAAGTATTAAAACTAACATCCTAAATGTGGAGGTGGAGATGAGGATCCGGCATCTGTCTTCCACGTGAGAGGCCTGGGTTCAAATCTGGGTAGGGGACTAAGTATTTTTTTGGTTTATTTTATTTTATAAATTAGTAAGAGTAATAAATTATTTTAAAATCAGTTGTTTTGCCTTAATAACCTAAAATAATATTTAAAATTTGTAGATTTTCGTTAAATGGTCGTAGAAAAAATATACTGTACAACTCGAGAAGATTATCCATATCGCATTCAGATCATCATATCCACTCTTCACTAGAAAAACAGTTCTGTAAATGGAATATAACGTTGGCACTTTTGTAACCAACGTTAAATTATGTAAGTTTCAATGTAACAAAATATTTAATATGTAATCTTTAAATTATTTGTAATGTGAACTGACACAACAAATTAAGTAGTTTTAGTTAATACATTAAGTATGTCAACTTAATATATTGTGAAACATTAATTGATAAGCAATGTAAACTAACACAAAAAATTATGTAGTTGTTCTAAATATATCATGTAATATTACAATTTTTATTGTGTGTATATCATGTGAAAAAGCTTTTTAAATTAAGGAAATATACCGCATATATATGTAAGTTTATTGTATATAACCTTTATAAACTATATGAAGAAACTTCTGGAATGGTACTATATAAATTGCTTATATTTTCAAAATATTTTATTTTACGTTGTAAAAAGTACACTTTACAAATTGTAAAAATTTGTGCTTTCTTTTATTGTATTTGTAATTTTAATAGGAGAAGAGAACTAGTGCTACTTTTTTAAATTTATCTTCCATAAAAAAAATTCATACTCCATCTCTTTAGAATTAGATTTAGAATTAAGTGGTTAAAACTGCATTCTTCTAAGATTAATAATAAAAAAGCAACCGCTCAAAAACTTGTTCAATTATGAATAAAAATTAATAAAAGTTGTTGTCGGACCTCTTAATTTGATATATCGTCGGTGAAAATGTTAACCTTCTAGCTCCACATTTTATCGAAACAACGATTTTGGTATCAACAGAAAGAAAAAGAAAATCTCGTTGGGTCATAAAACCATTTCTATTTAAAATGATGTCAATAAATTCTCTACTTCACTCGGTTTTGATTGTTGTGGAAAAACTCCGTTGAAGACATAAGTGGATAAAGGTGTCATGTCATAAAAAAATTATTTCGAGCAAAACAAGTTTAAAATTTTACAATTGCATTATTATATATGGCTCATGACACCTTCCTATCTGATGAATAGCCGTTATTTATCAAAATTGGAAATCAGAACTATCACAAACAAAAAATATAGTATATTTTAAGTACATTAAGCAATAAAAATATTTTTTTTTTTAAAAATGTGACATGACACCTTTATCCACTTATGTCTTTCGTTAATACATGTTGTGAATACTGCTGAAAAGATAAGTGTAAAAATAAATTGAAACAAGAAATGCTGTACTTTCTAATGCTCTTGTGAATTTAGTTGTGATGAATAAGATTACAATAGAGCAAAAATATTTATAAGTTGGACATATTCAGATGTAGACCGACAGTATGCATTCCACGATTGAGTATGCTAAAGAAAATAGTACACGTTCCTGCATAAAATTACTGTAGATAATAAATTACCACTTTGGTAATTTTAGAATTTTTTTAGTTTATTTTTTCTTTGTTCAAGTGTAATTTTTTACAATTATAATTAATATAAAACGTGGTTTTGTTTGTACCTTTCATTTAAATAGAATATCTTGAAATTAATGATAAATAAAATAGTTATTTATGTAATAAGTGTGTAAAGTCGCCTTCAAAAAAGGCATTTACACACTAATTGCATACAATATTTCTATTACCGTACATCTTAAACACTAAGATTAAAAATACGAAGGTTCCTTTACGCACTAGTGCGTAAACTGTTTTACTTTGCGTACTAGCGCGTGAAGAACATTTGAAATAAAATGTGTCATTTGTCATGTCAAAATACTAAAAATTGTGTCTTGATTAAGCACTAATGCGTAAAAAGTTTTACTTTACGCACTAGTGAAAAAAGTAAAACTTTATACACTCTGTAGTGTGCGTAATATAAGTATTTTAGGCAAAGTAATAGAAAAATAAATTAATAAATTTAAAAAATGTTCATTTTTTATTTTAAATTTTAAAGTAGCTTAATTTCTTTAGAAAGCTTTAAAGAATCAATATAATAGAACAATACGTACCATATAATAATAAATTAACATTGATACGCTCAATAAATTTAAATTTTCAATAAAAAAGTGGGTTTCTATTAAAAATTGTGATTTACTGTTATTTTCAAAAATTCGGAAATAAGCCATGATGTCACAGACCAGTTGAATCACGTATTTGACAATATTTATTTCAAGCTTTTCGTTCCAATATCTCAATTAACTGATAAAGCAGCTGAAGGTAAAGATAACAACGTGCTTTCAGTTTGAATATTCTGCATGAACTAAACTTTATTGTTCTTTGACAATTGACAGTTTATAATTAGAGGTGGATAATACAGAGCAGCGGCAACTGTTACATATTATTTTGATCATATTTAACATTAACAACGAAGATAAAAGCGGACTGAGTTATTAAATGGTTTGCTAATAATGAAAATGCTTAGATAAGGTAAACGTTTCTATTATCGGCACCTTAAGCTCACTGCATACCGTAAGGCATGCTTTCAATTCATTTGATATAGACAATATTCTAGTAACCTATGGTCTGATTATTGAATCTGTTAATTAGATGTATCATATTACATGTGAAAAAAATTATTTTGAAAAAAGTAAATACCTAATATTTGTTAAAAGCAATAGTGTAAAAAATTCGATATGCCCCGACTATCGGCATCCCAAAATAAATTAATGTTCCATTTTTCGGCATATATAAGATCCTTTTATCGGCACCGAATCATCAATCAAGTAAGTTAAAATTGAGATTTCTAAAAACATTTTTATTAAGTAAATAACACAAAATTCGAATAATACAATCCTATGTTCTATGAAAGCTAGATGCAAAATATTTGGTATTTCATAGGTAAAAATAAAATTTGACTTAAACTCAATATATTACTTGTCATTGACAAAAAGGACATTGTAATTCACATGTCCCTCCCTTCGGACTAAGAAAACAAGCCGTTTCATCACAATTGAATATACGACTGGGGTCAGAAGTTACTTCAAGATTGTTCTATAAACCATTGACGAATACGATTTTCTGTTAGGCTGTTTCTAGCACATGAGAGGTTCTGGGAAATCTTTGCAAACAGTTCTGGATGTCTTTTTAAAAATAATTCATACCATTTGTGACCAGGCTTTCCGTCTGTAAAATTATTAGGCCCATCTAGTTCTTTAATTAGTAACTGAACACTTTCTAACAACTGTATTTTCGTTGCTGGAAATCCACAGTTTGCAATCCGAAATAGCCATGCTACTAGTAAATTTTCTTCTTCCTTAGTCAGCACCATTTCTGGTCCATATTTCTTCTCTATTACGTGTTCTATCTTTAACTTTATCTTGTAGAGTCGATCTGGGTATCTTATATATTATTATGCTAGCAGTTTTAAATGGCATTCCTGATTGAATAGCGGCAACAGCTTCATTTATGGCTCCAACAGAATATTGAATTCGTTTTTTCTTCTCCATTGTAAGATTATTTCGATCTCCAATTACCGGCATGTAAAAGCTCGTATTACCGGCACAGTTTTTGTGTCAAAATAAAGACGAGATCTAGTGGGAATATGGGGTGCCGAAAATTGGTAGAAAATATCATCACTTCACACTGGCTTTAATGACCAAAAATTATCGAGGATAAGTTAAAAGCTAAGCTAAAATCGACCTAAATAGAGTC